AAAAAAACAACTTCTAAAGCACTGACATTGCACGGAGAGATGCTTTTTTCGACCAAGCAGTACAAAAATACGCGCGTGCTGCTGCTAACCCACATGGTGCATCTAACCGGAAGCCGTCGTATCTCATCCATGCAATGGCCCATATTACTGGCCACCTACTATAATACCATGTGCCTTCAAGTTTTCTTATCACCCCGCTACGCTGTACGCGATTCTCATCGTTTTCCTGCCACCGCACACCGTCATTCACCGCATGTGTGTGTATGTATGTATGTATATATATATATATATATATATATATATATATATATATATACGAAGGTCGCAGGTTCGGTTCCTGCCCAGCGCAAGTTATCTTTTCACCCACTTTTCTTTCCTCACATTTACTTTACAATTCGGTCTAAAAACCTCCCCTATACTTTCCTTGGCATTATTGTCTGTTAGATTTATTACTGTGTAAACACACGGATAATTGTGAGCCTTTATATATATATATATATATATATATATATATATATATATATATATATGGGATATGGCACAACGGGAGCGTTGTCAACAAGGATAAATATATTTATTTCCCAACAGTTTCGGGAGGGGACCTCCCTTCATCAGGGGGTCCCCTCCTGAAACTGTTGGGAAATTAATATATTTATCCTTGTTGACAACGCTCCCGTTGTGCCATATCCCATACCTTCACGAAGACTAACTGGCCCATTGAATTATTACTCCCACTATATATATATATATATATATATATATATATATATATATATATATATACATACACGAAGGTCGCAGGTTCGGTTCCTGCCCAGCACAAGTTATCTTTTCACCCACTTTTCTTTCCTCACATTTACTTTACAATTCGGTCTAAAAACCTCCCCTATACTTTCCTTGGCATTGTCCGTTAGATTTATTACTGTGTAAACACACGGATAAACGTGAGCCTTTAAGTATACACTTCTTTCCCCTATATATATATATATATATATATATATATATATATATATATATATACATATATACATATATATATATATGTGTGTGTGAACACTCAAAAAACCAGAAAAAAAAAAGCCCCAGCTCTTCGCGATGCCCCTACGAGCGCTGATCTTTCACGCGTAATTTGTCCCACAGTTCGGAAGGGGCGCGGGAATTTATATGCTTCTGCACGCGTGTGTCCTTTGGTGGGGAGAATCTTGTGCCTTCGGCTTCCACTGTAACGATTGCATTAGTTGCCGGGCCCACAAAGGCGACTTCGGTCTCAGCGCAGGCCCTGTTTGCAAAAAGAGCAAGTTTTTTCATACACAGGGAGGTTTAACAACTGGGGCACTTGTCAGTTTGTACCCATCAGTACCTGTGATTACGTACTGTGCAACGTTTTGTTGTTTAAATTTACAGTGCGTTACGTGTTGAGCGATGAGCATTGTTCGCTCTCGTCCTGTGAGTATTGTTTTTTGGCGTCATTTGTACGAGAGCATCGCACTGCACATTACGATCTGCTTGCCCTACTCAGCCTAACACTCGGTTCTTGCTGTCGCATTCATTGCTTCGCTCTTGCAGCAAAACTGTGACTTTTTTTTACATATTGACGGCCTTTAATCTAGCTGCGTGCCCTCGGAGCTAGTAGATAGCTATCGCGACGCCACGACCACAGTTTTGTGCGCGGCAGTTGCAGCACAAGATCTTTTTACGATCCCCGTGCACTTGAATGCGCACGCACCAAAACTAAATCATTTATTGCGAGCTAAAATAGCATCTGCCACAGTTCTGTCCGCAGAGTTTGCGGAAAGCAGCGTTGCTTTGACTGGTCGAGCAGTCAAAGGCTTTCAGGGTTCTGTCAGTTATGTCGTCTCCATATATGAACGTGTGAAGAGCGACCACGGTTTTGTCCACAACAGTTGTGGCAACGATAATCACAATCACACGCACTGTGAAAGACAGTGCGTGGGCTGGTCACATGCGTAATTCCAAAGCTTCGAGTACGCTGCTCTCTGGCTTCGTTCGACAGTTTCCGTACTAAAGTTCGTATCACCTGCTGCGATTAGGAAGTGTGTTCGGAGCAATCGAATTCAGGCCCAATGGACACAATGGCATTTGGCCAGAGATTTTGACTAATTCATATTTGTCGCCGTTTCGCATAACTGAGATTCTACTGTACATTTAGATGAACGGCTCTTAAACTCATTTATAATAAAATGGGGAGGTTCGAAAAGCCTGGAGCGGATTCAGCTGCTTTTTTGCCAGTGCGGCCACACCACACAGAAATTTCAATTTCTGGGAGATTTTCATGACAATCGTACAAATGGAAGAAATAGGCAAAATCCGGGAGTGTCCCGGCCAATCCGAGAGACTTGGCAAGTATGCACTTTCTCCCGTACCGGTAAAACTTCTCGTGGTGTGAACACTTCTAGTAGTTTGGTCAGCCGTTCACAGATGCACAGTGAGTCGGCTGTTGAATTCTATACCGTGCTGCTTCTACGTTTTTCATTTTCTCTGAAGGCACACGGCGTCCGTCCTGGTACTTGTTCACAAAATCTGTGAGGATGTAGTCACTTTGTTGGTTCCACAATAAATGCAACTTCGTAAAGAAGCTGTAAAACAGCTGGAACTATCAAAGAAATCTGGCGAAATTTCAAAAAAAGTGAAAGAAAACAGCGAACACAACACCACCGAGCACAGCAAGAACATACAAGACGTCGAAGTAACAAAAGTGACCCGCGTCTACAGTAGTTGCAGAAAAGTGGCCAGACGAAAAACGTGTATTTTGCCAAAAGCTGCCGGTGTCTAAACAAACTCTGCTACTGTTTATGTTTGGTTGCTTCTGTACATACTGTTGTTGGCTTCTTCCAGTAAAGCTAATTTATTGCTGCTCGAGGTAATGATTTTATAGCGAAAATTTACCTACTCTCGCACCCAGGGGCTATACTTAAGGGCACCTTTCATAACGCGCCCTTATGACAGAATAAAAGGGAGGTTTCTGAAACGCACTTTGTACTCATCTTATACTTTTCCATCTTACCGCCATAAGTTAAGGTCGATTCATGAATACGGCGGTTAGACTAGTGCACAGCAAGCCCTTGCGATGCGGTGGCTGTCACTGCGCATGCGGTAACGCGAGCCGCTGTTCACACTTGCGGCTCGCCCCCAGAAATTCCGAAATGGCATGCTGCCCGCAAAGCGCAGTGAGTAGCTTCTGTGCATTTGGGTTTGCGAGGGGGGGGGGGAGGCACTAAAGCCTCTAGACTTTTCCCGAGGGGGAGCAAACTGAAAAAAAAAAAAAACCTCGTATGGCGTCCGCAAGTAAAGCAACGCCTGCAAACATATTAGGGAGGTTCAGAATAACATTCGCAGGCGTTGCTTTAGGTGCGGGTGCCATACGAGTTTTAGAATAGCGTTTGCTCCCCCCCCCCCTAAGGAAAGCATAAGGACTTTCGCCCAGACTACAAACCCAAATGCACAAAAGCTACACAAAGCACTTTGCGGGCCGCGATCGCTGCACTCTATTTACGCCGTTCGAGCTTGCGGGCTCGAACGGCAGCTCGCGTTACGACGCTTTTCACACCGCAAGGGCTTGCTGTGCACTGTTTGGGAGTTATAGAATAGCGCACCGCGAGCGCTTGCGGTCGCTTCCACTGCGCATGCGTCGTACGCGAGCCGCCGTTCGTGGCCCGCGCGCAGAAAGTCCAAAATAGCGTGCGGCGATTGCGGCCCGCGAAGTGCTGGTGTCGAGGCTATGTGTAGTTCGCGGGACAGGTAAACTCCCTAGGAGGGGCAAACGTCATTCTGAAGTTCAGAAGGGTTGCTGTTCGGGCTAGTTGGTCATCCATGAACGTGGCGTGTATTAGCGCAGTACATAAAAAAAAGACGACACAGACGTAGAGATAGGTAGCTATCTCCACGTCTGCGCTAATACACGCTACGGTCATTCTGAAACTCATATGGTGTCCGCTATGCCCGCAAACGTTATTCTAAAACTCCCTATTAGTCATACTGAGCCCGATAGTACGCAAGGGGTAGCGCACCTGCAGCTGGCCTCAAATTACGTAAACGCACGACAGCGAATGGACATCCCGCATTGATAGAACGATCGACCCCGTGCAAAGTGCACTGCCAATGAGAAGCGGCCAGGAGAAAGCGCTGTGGCCGCGTGCACAACGCTGTCGTCTGCTAATAAGCTTACATGCCGCATGAAAGATGACGGCCACCACGTGGTGGTCGGGACATTTTCCGTTATTACAAGGCAGCGCGAGCTATGCGTATCAAACTTCCAAGGCTAACGACAAGACCATTACGCGGTGCAAACCAAGCCCTTCGATCAGTGAAGGCCTAGTGGGAGGCCTAACCTCACAACAGGACGGCTACAGTGTGCTGAACGAGAGCACAGTCTGCACAGCCAGTAAATAAACCCGGCGATTGATCTTGCTGCCCGTCGCCAAGAGGACACTGATCGAGCACGTGGTCCGAGGCATCTACCGACGACACCGGCGTCAAGGAAAGACAACCCGCCATGCTGGCTCGCTTCGAGAACGTCACGTGCCGCGTCTCACCGAACAGCTCGGTCGTTAAAGAACAACAAAACCTAGAGCAGCTGCGCAGCAACCTCAGGTTGCGCGTGAATTATAACCAGTCGGTACTAATGACGGGGTCCCATTACTGTGCCATGACAATTCAAATAATCAAAGCCGAGACGACAGTGCACAGGACGGCGCCCACGGCTCACCTAATCGCGCACCGGCAAGCGTGATTGCGCTCACCCAGTTTTGATGCGCCTATACACATTGCCATGTTTGGCAGGCAAGTTTCGGCAGCGTGGTCACACCAACAATCGCGTGCTGCGTCGCTACATCGACGCGAAAGAACGAAAAGTGGAGTCGATGAAGCAAGCGGCCCGTGCACACCGCGGCATACTCGATGGAGCGCGCGGGGCACGTTTCTCGGCTGCTTAGGCCTACGGTGCGCGAGAAATGACGCACTAGGCAGGGCCCAACACTCACCGTCCCTAGGTGCGATGGTTCTCTCCTGGCTCTTGCTAACCGGTGCTTCCTTGATTTGTTTCTTGCCAGCCGCGTTGACGGCCGCTTTGACGCCCTTCACGGGTGCGGGGCCTTTGCTCTTGTCCTTCGCCGTGGTTTTCTCGGCCTTCCGCCTCTCCTTTTCTTCTTCTTGTTGCCGCAGCAGTTCTGTCGGGTCTTCCTCATCATCGTAGAAGAGTTCATACCTGTTCTTAACGCCGATGCCGTACGAACTCTCCATGGTCAGATAGGCCACTCCAATCGGAGGATGCCTTTGGATTAGAAATCTGACCAATTTTACTGCTCTTCCCGCGAATTCATGCAAAATGGCCGAGGTAAACGAACCGCGATGCACGCCGGGAAGACAAGTTTTCTCCTCGCCTTTTCTGGAAACCACATTTTTCTGCACCCAATTACTTTCACATGAACACCTATTTGAAGAATGAAAACTAAGTTTTTGCACTAAGTTCTTACTTAAATTTTACAAAAGAATAATTTTGTGGTTACCAACAGTTAAAATGTATTTGCCGCATCGCATTTTTTATAGCTGCGTTTACGCGCCAAGTGGTTTATTCTGGCGCGAAATTTGCGGGAATTTGCGCGGGTAAACGTCGATTCCGTGCGCTACCGTCAGCTGTGAGTGCCGACGGTGTGCTGAGCGCCTTCGCAATACAAATGTCGTCGTCGCCGTGCAGCCCGCCGATCAGAGACCAGGCGTACTACCCGTGGCACTGGCATGAAGTCGCCGAAGCGGTCGACCTGAAGAGCCCGCGCGCCGGCAGCACAGGCTCGGCGGTGGTCACCGGGTGCCGTCCTTCGTCGCCGCAGAGCAGCCCGGCGCACGACGGCCAGCGTCGCGGTCGCCCTAGGCTGGATACCATCACGTCGCTGATCCGCGAAGGCTCTTCGTCCCCCAGCAACATCAAGTGTAAGGTGTGCAACCGCGTTTTTCCACGCGACAAGTCCCTCCAGGCTCACATGCGGACGCACACTGGTGAGTCCTCTGTCGCACAGTTTACGTTTTTTCTTCATGGCGGGAAGAAGTCCGCACTTCGGTTGGTTTTTTAACTGGAGGGCCGCGTCGAGACAGTGGCGCTCGCTTTGTTTTCGCCATGAATAACAGCGTCGCTGTTTATGTTGATGTTACGCAGCCTCACTATGTGTTCTCGGTGGACTTTCTTTGATGCACGTTCTTGCACACTTCTGAATAGTGGGCTATTGGGACCACTCGATCAATCTGCTAGTAACAGCCGTCGTAGCGCGCGCTGTGGTAGTTTTAGACTCGCATTTTGAAATTGAGTTGGTAATATCAGTGGGAGTGGGCGAAAAAAAGCACACAACACTTTTCCTTGTACTGAGTGTGGCGTCATCTTCGTGTCTTTTTTTTTTTTTTGCGCATTCGTGCTGAAGTGGTACTTGACGTTCAATTGATCGACAGCCGCGTTCCTTCTCGTTGTAAGAACGAAGTTTGTGGTTTTGGGAGCACTGCTACAGGAGGGCAAGTGCTGCTTTAGGACGTCCCTGCCGATGCCCATGGTAATGACTAGAGGTTGGGTTTTTAGGCACTAAAAAACGGGGTTTAGGTGCCAAAATTGGACGGACAAACACTGTTTTAGGCGTCTAAAATCGTAAATATAAACTTTGACTAAATTCAAGTTTTCTAAGAAATAGTGTGGGATTTGTGTCTATGACAGGAACGCAAATAGAAATGTTTTAGTTTATGGTGGTACAACAGCGATGTGTTTTAGCATAGCCATGCATTTTTTTCTAGTCCAGCATGGTGACTAAAGTTTCCATCATCAAATAAACATTTTCCTCAGTCTGTTCCTTTTCGGCATGACTGAGAAAGGCAACACAGGGGCGAATAATCAGAGTACCAAAAGGCCAGAAGGGTCTTTTTGCTTTATATTAACTTGATCTAATCGTGCAGGGTCAACTTCTTTTTTGTCTGCGGACACCTTAAAGGGCTATCACCAGGTTTAAGAATTTAGAGTAGGTATAAAGGAATACACGCACTGGGGTGCAAGTGCCGCAATTGCACCTCCTTGCCGACACCCATGGTAATGACGTATGGAGAGTACCTTGCATGTGCTGTGCCGTGATGGCAGATATAGAATGTGCTCTGGAAGGTACTTGAGCTTCCTTGTCATGAGCGTGATCATCATGACCATGTGCGTTCTCAGGGTTTTACCTTGGAGGGTTCAAGGTAAATCGTATTTTTCTCTGTGCATGTAATTTTAGCTGTCTTGGCATGACACTTTCCTCACAATGCAGTTTTTAATGTGCAGTATTTCTTTGAAGTGCTCGAATTGCGAACATATGCACTTTGAGCATGTCTATCTATTGATCATGTAACTATCTGCCTATGTACGCCCGAGTGATGTAGTTGTCTTCTGCTGAACCTGGTATTAACCAAAGTTGCCAAATGAGTACGTGAGTGTATGACAAAATCGAGTGGCAGGCCACGAAATGTATGTAATATTCTTGTCCGTACATTGTAAAATCATTTCCCTCAGTCATGTGTGGCCCATACCCGAATAGCACAGGCATATTATAGAAAGCTAGATATGTGTGCCGCACGCAGGTTTGAAGAATAGCATTAGATGCCTGTTTCTCGAACAATTTCAATTGATGCAAAGTTTGAAAATTAGGTATGCATCCGGAGTAACCTATCGCAATGCCCTGCCAATGGTTGAAGATTCTGGCTTTAGTAGTGATGTAAGGGCATCGTAGTTGTGGTGTTGGCTAACCGCTTTTATAACAATGCAATAAACATTACACATCCCCTTCTTTGACTTAAGCGTTGCATGCATTGCAAGTACCATAAGATGCAGTTCATTTGATGAAACTTGCGTATGTGCTTTAGTGTGGGTAGCATTGTGAGATGAGATCGTGTGCTAGCCTTCAGGTGCCAGTGAACTCCACGTTCCTCGTGAGCCCCCCATTAGATAAACTACTTAATTAACTGAAAGGCATATATATGCATCTCATAACACTATGCTCAAAGCACAATATTTGGTGTCGCATGAACTCAATTCCTGCATTGTGGGAGGGCCACCAAAATTTTGCACACGGAAATTTTGAACATCTGGTGTTCTTTGAAGGGGCACTGACACAAAATTTCGCGGCCGAGATAGCCTGTGGGGTCGATTCCCAAGAACATTCCTATATCATCTGCAAAGTATCAACAGCGAATATAGCTGGGAAAGTATTTTAAAAGAGTTTCGAAGTTTGCGTGAGCTCTCGACTCCAACGCGCCTCCATTGACACCATCGAAGGGGACCCTGAGGCGACTTCGTACTTTCCCATGTCACTGCGCTACAGTCAAGAAAACAAGTTATCTTGACGCCATAGCCACCTTTTTTTTTTTTTTTGCCGCATTTCTTTTTGCAGTTTATACTTTTTGACGGCTGGTTGCGAGTGCGTGGCTGTGGCACACGCTTAAAAAGGTCTGTGTTGGACAACACTGCAGTAGCATTTCCTGTTTGAAAGTAGTTCATGATGCGTACCGTGTAGGCTTGTGCGAATAGTGAATTTATGGTTCGAAGCGAATAGTGATTTCGAATCGAATTCGAATGGTATGTATGCCATAGAAAAAAAGGAAATATTTATGATGACAAAACTAACCTGCACAATATTTTTTTTTAATTGAAACAGGGTCTCTATGCAAATGCCATTTATTTTTTCGTTCAAAGGAAGTCAAAACAACCTTGAGTAGTAGTTTCGGTAGGATGTGAGTGATAACCTGTGATTTACTTAATGTTTTAAAATTTATTATACTAGGATTATATAAGCTTAATAAAATGAAGAATTCATTTGAGGGTAACATGTTCCTTTAAAGGGGCCCTGCAACACTTTTTCAAGTAGCCATGGAGCCAGTAAACATGTTTGTTGCCTTAATTTACTGCAGCAAAGTTTCTAGAATCAGTCCAGTATAAGCAGAGTTCTAAAACTTTGCGCCTCTGCAATTGCATTCTCTCTTCTCGTCTTGACGAAGTAGCTGGAAGCTAAGCAGGGAGGAATGGCACGGCGAAAGAATTAAAATACTCCACACGCACCTCATGACCTTGGGCACCTCTTTTTTTTCTTCTAATACACGGCTTTTCAGTGCGATCGCACACGTACTCGTCGACAAGCGCACCATGCTCAAATCAGCCAATGCCTGTGACCAGAGCCATATATTTCTTCTAGGTTGTGACAAGTGATTGTTGAGCTTGCAGTGTCACTTTGTGAGGAAAAAAAGCAGTTTTAAGCTTTGAAATTTTTTTGCGAATTACAGGCCATGTACTGCGCTACAATATTTGCCTCGCGTGTTTTCGGTAGCCTCGACTACCGATCGGCAGAATTTTCTGACCATGTTCAGTTATTGTTGCAAGGCCCCTTTAATTTGAAGGAAGGCTTCACGGAAAAAGCGAATGTTCTTTAAGTAGATGTTTTCACTGTTTAGCACTCCTACATTGCAGTAAAACCACCTTTACAAGCGGTGACCTGCGAATTATTATACATTTATTTGTTCATTGCGAATACTTCGAAAATATCAATAATTTAAATTAGAATCAAAGCAAATTCGAATATTGAACTATTTGTTTGAATATTCGAATATTCGCACAAGCCTAGTACCATGCCGAAGTGTGTCATAGTTCTGTGTAATGACGTTGTCAAGATCTGCACACGCTAGGGGGCCACAGTTGCACCCATTTTTTTTTTAGCTCTCTCAAACCAAAACTGAAGCTGATCGATAATGAGGGGCCTGTAGTTAATGACTTGTCGCATGGTGCCGCAAACAATGTGTCGTGTCATGACCCACAGGCCATCAGTAAGATATTGCAGCAGAAAACGAGAGGCCAAAGTTTTTGTGTCAGTACCCCTTTAACCTGCACCGACATAGCACAGCACAGGGGCCTGTGGCAGTTCGGCTATATCGAAATGCGGTCGCCGTTGTCGGGATGGAACTAAGGGCAGTGCTAGGGGTGGCAGGGCTGGTGCCTTCTCCAAATTTTGCCTCCCCTCCCTCCCCCGCTCCGGTAAACTAATCTTGGTGCTGCCCCTGGATTAAACCTGCGTCCTTCGAGTCGGCGGCCGAGTACCGTAACTGCTGCGTACACAGAAAGCACCACGCAGCGACAAGTACCTTTATGACGAGCCCACTTAGTGAGCTCATATGATTAAAAACTAAAGGCGTGGGGTTGAAAAAAATGGGCAATTGCCATGGGCATCGGCAGGATTTTACCTTCGAGGGGCAACACTGTGTCATCATGGCGAGGGAGGGCGGGCTCTGGTGTGGCTGGAAGGGGGGGGGGGGGGGGGGGGGGGCTCGTGTAGGGCAAATGCAGCTTTTGCACCCCCCTGCCAACACCCATGGTAATGACTAATAGGGAGTACCTTGCACGTGCTGTGCCGTGATGGCAGAAATAGAATGTGTCGTGTGGAATGCGTTTGTTCTTCAGCAGCAAAGAGCTTTGCCCCTAAAAGAAAACCAAAGAGAAGCTAAGAAGGCTATACAGCTCCACACTTCTTCAAGGTTATAAGTGAATTAGTTTACCAAGTATGGCACCATATGATTCATGGCCTATCCCCCAGAGTGGGTTACGCCAAGATCTTGAGATACCAATCGGTCAACCTACAGTCTTGGCACCCCTTTAGTGAAAAGCTGCTGTTTTTTTTATATATCTTTAGATGTTAAGCAGCCTATAGTGGAGTTCAATTCGATGTGTTTACTGCGCATGCTCAACAGCTGGCCCAAGCACTGCCAGAACGTGCACAAGCGCATTCTGGCCTTTGTAAGGGGCTAGATAAGACCTCATGGCCTCTCTCCCTTACAAACTCTCAGCAATCGCGTGACGGCGTCGGGGAACGAGATGCTGCGGACGTGCAATGAACCCACGTGCTTCAACAAGAGTTCAGTACGAGTAACAGCTGCGGAAACTACAGCGAATTCGTGGTGTGCTCCACTTGCAAGGACACAATAACATCAGGCAAGGTGCCCTTGCTGAACAAAACTTCAGTTGATCCATGCACTTCGCGTGCAACTCATGGCTCCCTTTAGTGGGAGATAGTGTAATCTTTGGGGGCGAAGCTCATCTTAGTCTAACCTTGTCGCTGGTCACGCGCAATGGAGAAAAGAGGCAAAAAGAAAACAAGGCAAAAGAAATGAATGACCATTTCTCATCTTATTCTTTAGGTGGTGTTACTCTGCCGCTACTCTCCGATCGGCTGCTGTGCACGCTTTTCCTCAGTGCACTAAGAACTAGTGTCTCTCTCAGTCTCCTGGATAGTCGCTGTACATGGCAGATCGTCGGTAGGGCGTGGACAAAGCAGAGCGATGGGCCGGTTAAAGATGCTTGCGCTCGGCTTCTTTGGCTCGCGTCTCGGCAGTGTTACCCGCGCGTCGTCTGCATTCTTAAACGCGATCGGACACATTGACGCCTGCACGGACGGATGGAGACGCTTCACCCCACTCATCATCACTCAATCCGTCGATATGTTGTGATTTTTTTTGTTGTTTCATTTGCTTGTACACTGTACACGCTCCTTAGCCTGTTCTATCGAGAACATTCAAAACACTTTTGTTGTAGCAAATGTACCAAGCTAGTACACCAGAACATGCCTGCCAAGTCATTTGATTCTTTCCATTGCTTTCTGACATTTTAATCTCAGGTGAGAAGCCATATGTATGTGACTTTCCGGGCTGCAAGCGAGCATTTGCCCAGAGTGGCCAACTGAAGACTCACCAGCGTTTGCACACGGGTGAAAAGCCATTCATCTGCTCCGAACCAGGTGAGCTTCATTGGGTGCTTCAATGGTGAGCTTCTAACACGTCTGAATCGGGATGCTTCAATCAAACCAGTTGTGATATTCACACTTGCCCACAGACAAATTTGTGAAACTGATATGGCAGCTCGGAGTCATAGAAAATCTGCATTCTTCCTTGATTGGTCCAGTTTTCGGTGTCACTGCACAAGTTGCTGCGCAATGTGCCTTTTGCATGTTCAGAGATGCGGGTGCATCATATTGTAGCAGTAAGCACATGAGCAGACGCACGGTTGGAAATATGCGAGTGGCCCATGCCAACGTGTGGCCGACTTATCTGCACACCGCGAGAGGGAAATATGGACAAGAGTGAGTCACTGTTACATTCCTGCTTTCGCGGCCAACTGGCAGAATTAGGCACTGAGTAAAATTTCATCTTGAAAACAGCGTATAAATGCGAGGACGTAGAGAGAGACAATTGGACAGGCTAACTTGCAACTAGAAAGTTTATTAGAAAGAGGGCTTACAAAAAGATGCCACATGCTCACCGATGCCATTTAACTCCTTAGTTACCACGTCTAATAAAATCGACCACCGGTGCTTGATGCTTTAAATAATTGATTTTCGCATGATAGTTTATTTTCTCATGCATTTAGCACTTTCTTGTAGTTAGCCCAGTTGCAGAACTTTCAGAATCAGTTTGAATTTGGCCATTGACAGACATTTGTGCAAACTAATGTGCATGTGTTGAGAAAATGGGTTTGGCGGACAAATTTAAAAGAAATGTGTGCTGCTCGTGATTATGCTTTAGTAACGTAAAAGTTCGGTAATTAAAAAGACCTTTGCAAGTCAAATATCAATTCGTGGCGTCAGCTTTGCAATCTGACAGTGCTGAGTGGTTATAACTGCCTGAAATACATGTCAGCTATTCACTAGAAAGCTGTTGTTCAAACTTGGGGAAGATTTATGTAACAAAACATTATTGGCTAAAGACCACCACATGTATAATGTGTGGAAGTGGCCTTTCAGCCATTTTCCAGCAGCTTTGGTTTCCCTTGTATTTTTGAATCGGACACAGGGCCGCATACACTGTCGGTAGTCCCTGCTATGGCATTGTTGTGATACGCGCATTGGTGCGCAACTGTACCACGAGAAATAAGCTTTACTCGAAACTATCTTGCAAGTGCTCCTTTTTTTTTTTTTTTTTTTTTTTTTTTTTTTTTTTTTTTTTACTGAAATAGAAAATAAACGAAGGAGTTTTTTGTCACCGTTACTTGGCGACGGCTACCCCTTTCCACTTAATTGGTACAAATAAAAATATGGAAAAAACAATGCATATATACATATATACAGTCCCACATGGGTGAGAGCAAAAGTTCTCCTATATGGGCAGAACAAACACGTAGACCACACGCTCACTTTTTACTTTTGTCCGCTCAGTATTCGTCACAAATCTTTGTTTCTTCGAAGAACTGTTGCAGCACCTTCATTGCTTTGCCATTTGTTTTGGATGGCCATGGACCTAGTATTTTATTCAACCCGAATGGTCGCTCAGGATCTAACCTATGCAGTTCTTGTTCTAGTCTCCTTCGGTGTGTGTCGTGTTTCGGACAGTCGAGCAAAAGGTGACAGATATCCTCGTCGTCGTGGCCACATGAACATGCTGACGATGTTGCACGATGAATACGAAGTAGGAAGTGCTTTGTGTAAGCAGTTCCGAGTCGTAGGCGTTGAATGAGTGTGTCGATACGTCTTGGGAGGTCACGGTCTAATTGGCATTCAAGATTAGGATCAACAGAATATAGGATGGATTCCTTTGTTTTGTCTGTGAACCAGGTAGACAGGCATAATTCACGTTTTGTTGTTCTTAAAATTTTATTTACATGATATTGAGATACCGGAATGAGGCACGTTTGCGTAGAATTATGAGCGGTTTTCGCCAACTCATCCGCCATTTCATTTCATTTTTCAGTGACTGGGAACCCACTGAAATGCCACTTGATGATTCCACTTTGTAGCTTCTGAGAGATCTTTTAGTATAGCGTATATTATACACACATCAATGTGTCTGAAGTGGCACTTTCCACACATGCCACTGCTGCCAGAGTGTCTGCAATTACCACCCATATTCTTGGTGTCGTTGACAGTTTAATAAAGCTTATGGCTAGCAAAATCGCTACGAGCTCCGACGTTGTTGAAGAAGACAGGGGGCCCAACCGACATGCATATTCTTCGTGCAATTCCGGAATTATGAATGCTGATGTCGCTGTCTCTTTGGTGACGGAGCTGTCAGTGTACACGTGAGGGTATCCTTGGTACCTGTCAAACAGATGATGTGATTCCAACTGCTGAGCGGCAACGGTTGGCACTTCATGTTTGCTGCGAAGTACTATTGATGTTTCGATAGTTGGTAGCTCAAGCAGCCATGGGGGGTAGTTTTGGTCCGGTGGCCAATGTGTTGACACAGGAAGCCGGGAAATGTACTGTTGGTACACATAGTGTACTTCCGCTCCAGCACGGTTCGCGATGTTGGATATGAGCGGATGCGAAGGGTGTTGCGTGACTAGACGAAAGAGGTGCCGACATGTCTCCACATTTCTAATTACTGTAAAGTTGGGTTCTCTTGCCTCTGCCAGTGTCAAAGAACTTGATGTTGCCTGTGGTACCCCCAGATGTATGCGTAAGCTTCGTGCTTGTAACAGGTGAAGTCGGTGTAGCAACGTCTGAGAGATTTTGTGGAGAACTGGCGCAGAGTAGGCAATTTTCTGTCGGATTAGTGCACAATGGACGTGGAGGAGAGACGCTGATGTACCGCCCCATTTTTTTCCCGCGATGTGACGTATAACATCTATGGTGCTGTTCACTTGATTTTCTAGATCAGCAATATGCCGACTCCATCTAAGTTGGCTATCTAAGGTAACGCCAAGGAAGCAATGCTTTCTTGCGATTTCGATTCTCTGGCCATCCACAAAAGCTTCAAGTTTTTCACTCTTTTTCTCGTGAATGGCAGAACTACATATTCGGCGATGAGAAATCTGCATGCCTCGCTCTTTGAGGTAATCACTTATTGCGTCTAGTCCTTGTTGAAGCCAATGTTCGATCACTTCCAGTAATTTGTGAGACGTCCATATGCATATGTCGTCTGCATACATGGATATGTTCAAGGTTTCGGGCAGTACTTCTGGAAGGCCTGCCATTGCAGCATTGAAAAGAAGCGGACTTGGAACGCTTCCTTGGGGTACACCTCTGCTCATATTGAAGCGATCGCTGTCTCCGTTATTGGTTGAAATGTATATTTGTCTGTTACATAGGAAGTTGGCGATCCATTGAAGGATAGGACCGTGAACCCCTAGTGAGGTAAGCCCGTCCAGCACAGAAAGGTGGCTCACAGAGTCGAACGCCTTCTTAATATCTATGAACGCCGCAACATCTATGTTTCCACAGCTCATCTCATGTTCTACAAATGTAACGAGGTCGAGGACGCAGTCCATGGTGCATCGTCGTCGTCTGAAGCCAGCCATCTGTTCTGGGAGTGAGTTGTTAGCTTCAATCCACCACTGTAATCTTCTGTCAACCATTTTTTCCATTACTTTAGATACACAGCTAGGGAGGCTGACTGGTCGAAATGAGTCAAGCAAAAGCGGTGATTTACCGGGCTTCGGTAGTGGGACGATTCTCGCGACCTTCCAACACATTGGAACGTACGCCTTTGTCCACATGTCGTTATATATCCGTAGAAGAACTGGCATGCTGTTGGGTCCTAGATTTTTCAGAACACTGTACGATACGTTGTCGGGACTGGTTGCCGTTCTTACGCGGGTTAGTGGTAGAGCACTACGCAACTATAGTAGAGGATACGTGTTATCCAGTTGAGCATGTGATAAAGTCTATGCATCTTGAATTTGCTGCTCTACAGAACTAGGCTGTGCAGCAGTGTTGTGGACCAATTGCCCAGTTTCAGTCAGCATTGTGCAAAACTTATTAGAAACATCACGTTCGGATAATCCAAGCAAGTGCTCCCACTTGAATGACGAGCTTTGAGTTCGAAGATGACAGCAGCTGAGCTTCAATCCCTCATTGCGATGGTCTTTTGTGTCAGTCTTGTTTTTGTTGATGACCTTAAGTGGTCTCATCCACTGAACAATTGCTGACCTTCGTGCATAATTTTGAAGCTGTCCCGGCTCTATGTGAGGTCAACTTGTCGCTGGCGCACAATGGGCGGGCACCAGCTCCAAAGCTTCTCCTCTTGAGAAGAGGACCGCCGGCGCACATTGTGGCCCGTATTACGAAGCAACGTGAGATGTTTGAGGAGTGTGCGCAACTTTATATTTTTTTTTTTGGTACTATCTGCAAAATACAAATGAATATGCTTGGATGCATATTTTGGCATGCTTTCCTATGTAGAGAACAGGGTGTGCACAGCTCTTTGAAATTCTTGGAAACCCCATACCCGCCAAGTCTCCCGGATTTTCTTGAAGACTCCGGGGTTTCAACCACTTCTTACGTTTGTCAGGAAAATCTCACTGAAATCAAAATTTCTTTGTGTGATCTGACCGCATTGATAAATAGCAGCCCAATCTGATCCAGGCTTTCTGCGAACCCATCGCACTTTATTCCCCGCCGCAATGGTCTAGTGGCTAAGGTACTCGGCTGCTAACCCGCAGGTCGCAGGATCGAATCCCGGCTGCGGCGGCTGCATTTCCGATGCAGAAGGAAATGTAGGCCCGTGTGCTCAAATTCGGGCGCATGTTAAAGAACCCTAGGTGGTCTAAATTTCCGGAGCCCTCCACTACAGTGTCCCCCATAATCATATGGTGGTTTTGGGATGTTAAACTCCACATATCAATCAATTAATGAATCGCACTTTATTGTAAATGAATTTAGGAGGCATTAGTCTAAACCTACAGTAGAATCTCAATGATGCGAAACCAGCAGACACGAATTTGTGAATTACCCCAGTCAAGTTTCACGTCTATGAAACCAAAATTCAGATGTTCTGAACACTTTACCTCATCGCGGCTGGGGGT